CTCTTGTCCCCGCTCCATCCAGAGGTAAAGCAGTTCAGAGGAATGCAGTGACTGTCAGGGAGCCCGGCTCCTGCTAAAACCCCAGCAGGACAGAACAATAATGCTCTTTTAAACAGCTGAGAGCTGCAACCTGTTTGAAAAGTGGAGCTTTGCGGCTGTTACAAATGCTGACGAGCCTTTAATCCCGATGGTCATAGCTGTCTGCGTCCGCAGCCCGGAGCCGAGCTGCCAAGAGGGAACAGGAGAGGGGACGGCGTGAAAAAAAAAGCCAAACCATCTCATCCTGATAATTCCTGGACTCACCGGCCACACACAGAGAGCGCTCCCCCACCTCTGCACCTCCACAAGCATCCTATGTCTCACAAATGTATGACGTGCACGTGAATATCCACCTTTACTCTCTTAAGGAAGCCGGCGGATTGTGTAATTTATATAACGATATGTTTAAGGGGCCATACTTGCGAACGTTTGTGAATACAGAATGTTTGCTGAAAAACCAGTCCAGCTCAGTTCAACCAGGCCAACAGGTGATGATGCAATGGCTGTTAAACAGGGTTTTTTTTCTCTTGAATAGCAAAACATGCCTATTTGTCCAAGTGAAACCTGCATCACTGGTAGCAGTGAAGTTCATTTAAGCTATTTTAATTCAATCCAAGGCCTAGAATCATTTCCAGGAGGAGCGGTTTTAGAATAACTTTTACAGCATGACTTGATAGCTGAGTGGGCAGCAGCACATGGCAGTTAGTCTGTGTCGTGGGTTTAAATCTGACCAGGGACTTTTTATCCTCGCTGCCTCAACTTTTTGCTTTAACAAAGAGGTGAAAGTGCAACAAAACACTGCGCTTTATCACACTCTGGCATCCGAGGACCCCTTTTACATGACAGATTTTCACCTTTACAACTCGTGAGGGTGTTGCGGTCGCGCCGGCAGCTGAATGTAAAGAAAAAAAAATGCAAAAAGAATTGAATGCGCCAATCCTGTGATCCCTCAAACGCAATAAATCTCAACGATAATAAAGCAGACCAAGATACCAGACATATGATGTGCCAGAGAGATAGTAGAAGCGCATATTTCAACTTAAAGTAACAGATAGAGACGGCTAGGTGCAACTGCTCTTCCTCCCCCTCTCCTAAAATTTAAACAGTGTACAGTGTCTGTTTGTCCCAGCTGTGTCCGTACAGCCTCTCCTTTTCCTCCCCCCACACGTACATTCCTCACTATGGCATTTTTAAAACTGTGTCAATGAGTCAGGGGGGAGGGGGATGATGAGAACCATTAAAAAAAAGAAAAAGCTGTGAAAAAAGATGCGATATTCCACATAAATGATCACGGTTAAATGAGGAAGTAATGGCCTGAATTCTGAGCGCATTTGGGACTTGGGGGGTGGGGATGCACAGCTGTACAACTGCATGACACCTCGATCAAAGTGATACTTAGAAGCCACCTTAAACTGTGCTTAGCCAGTAATTAGAAGCTCCCCAGAGGAAGAAAAGGGTCAATATGCAAGCCATTCCTAATCCAATGGATGGAAAACGTGAGTAAGCTGGGAAATATTTTTTATTTGCTAAATGTAGCTTATCTGATCTTAAATTCATAATTCTAAGTATATTTTTGTTCAGAATTAACAAGTCCACAACAAATTCAACAGTCCGGTGTGTACGTG